CGATGATAATGATGATGATGGCTGCAGTGATGATGATAATGATGACGTTGATAGCATTGCAGTTAAAACTGGCGTTGATGATGACGATGATGATGACGATGATGGTTTTGAGGGTATGATCGGTTTTAATTGTTTTAATGACGATGATGATGATGACGAGGAAGAAAACAGTAATGATGAAAATTGTGATGGTGATGATGAAAATTGTGATGTTGATGATGAGAATGATGATGAGGAGAATGATGATAGCGACGATGAGGATGATGATCTAGAAAAGGATGACGACGATGAAGATGATGATGGTTTTAAATTTTGAGGTGAAAGCATATTTGTAAGCAGCAGTGATGACGACGAAGACGATGATGATGGCGGAAATGATGACGATGATGAAGTTGAAATTACTCTCGTAACAATTGACGAAGTTGCGTCAGACGGTGACGATGATGAAGGTGGCGATGATAGAATAGCTTGTGATGAATGAGGTACTGATAAAGATGACGAAGACGATGATGATGAAGACGACGACGATGATGAAGACGTTGATGATAATATGGGGGCAATTTCAGCATCGGTCTGGTGCGATAGTCTGTTGATGTAGAATTTTCTTCTTTTCCAAGGACAGCCTGAAATCGCTGTTGGAATTGGTAGAAGCGTTGTTGCTGTGGCTGATGATGAAGAAGAAGATGGTGATGAAGAAGAAGAGGAAGAAGATGAAGAAGAAGATGGTGGAAAATAAGAAGAAGAGGAAGAAGATGAAGAAGAAGATGGTGGAAAATAAGAAGAAGAGGAAGAAGATGAAGAAGAAGATGGTGGAAAATAAGAAGAAGAGGAAGAAGATGAAGAAGAAGATGGTGGAAAATAAGAAGAAGAGGAAGAAGATGAAGAAGAAGATGGTGGAAAATAAGAAGAAGAGGAAGAAGATGAAGAAGAAGATGGTGGAAAATAAGAAGAAGAGGAAGAAGATGAAAGAGAGGATGGTGGAAAAGAAAAAGATGACGATGATGATAGAGAAGATGTTGAGAAAATTGACGACGACGGTAACAAGAGAGGTAAGTTTGATGACGATGAAGATGATGATGTCATTGATGACGTCACATTCGGTAGCGTCGATGTTGACGATGAATTTCGAAGAAGGTAAGTCAGAGGATGAGAAGAAGAAAAAGAAGAAGAAAGGAAAGGAGAAGAAGATGACGACGAGAATGCCAATGAAGTATAAGATGACGTCATCACACTGCATCCACATAAAGGATTCTCATTGCATTTGAACACGGATTTTGATGTGCTATAACTAAATGCATTCGCGGTTATACTGTTGTTGCTGTTATTATGACTGTTGTTGTCATTATTATTACTTTTATTAGTGTCATCTTCACCGGTGTATTCGCTTTGTTGTATCGAGACAGTGCCGTAGGTACAATTTTTATTTAATTCAGTATCATTGCTAGTATCATTGAACCGGTAATATAATTTAGTATCATTGCTAGTATCATTGAACCGGTAATTTAATTTAGTATCATTGCTAGTATCATTGAACCGGTAATATAATTTAGTATTATTGCTAGTATCATTGAACCGGTAATATAATTTAGTGTCATTGCTAGTATCATTGGACCGGTAATATAATTTAGTATCATTGATAGTATCATTGGACAGGTAATATAATTTCGTATCACTGATAGTATCATTATTATTATTATTACTATTATTATTATTATCTTGTGAAAAAGTCCACACCGTATCTCCCACTAAAGCGACATAATTCTTCATAAACTCTGGCGACGCTTCAATTTTTAGAAATAAAGGGAGTCGTTCGCCGCTACTTAAAGTTTTACAGTTACTAATACTACCATGTGTAGTAGTAGTACTACTACTACTACTTGTGCTACTACTACTGATGCTGCTGCTGTGAAAGTTACTACAACCCACTTTTATGTTATTGTTATTATTGTTATTGTTGTTGCTATTATTATTATTGTTGTTGTCATTATTATTATTGTTGTTGTTGTTGTTATTGTTGTTGTAATTATAATTATTATCACTCTTGTTATTATTATTGTTTGTCATTTCCATTCTTTTTTTGCCAGTTTTGCCGTATCCTCCAGTGTCGCCAAAATTAGATTTTCGCTTCCTCGTTTTTTTATTATTGTTGTTGTTGTTATTATTATTATTGTTGTTGTTGTTATTGTTGTCGTCGTCGTCATTGTCATTACTATTTTTAATCTTTCTACTTCCGGTTGTCAACTTGCCTCGGCTATCTCTGTCAATTAGATCGATTATACCTGTAATGTCTTCTTGTAGACTTGATAAAAATGATGAAGACGATGCAGTCGAGATAGGTGATGATAAAGTCGGGACAGGTGATGGTAATGCAGACGAGACAGATGATGATAATACAGACGAGACAGATGATGGTAATGCAGACGAGACAGATGATGATAAAGCATACGAGACAGAAGATGGTAATGCAGACGAGACAGATGATGATAATACAGACGAGACGGATGATGGTAATACAGACGAGACAGATGATGATAATGCAGACGAGACGGATGATGGTAATACAGACGAGACAGATGATGATAATGCAGACGAGACAGATGATGATAATGCAGATGAGACAGATGATGATAATGTAGTCGAGACAGATGATGGTAATGCAGACGAGACAGATGATGATAATACAGACGAGACGGATGATGGTAATACAGACGAGACAGATGATGATAATGCAGACGAGACAGATGATGATAATGCAGATGAGACAGATGATGATAATGTAGTCGAGACAGATGATGGTAATGCAGACGAGACAGATGATGATAATACAGACGAGACAGATGATGATAAAGTCGGGACAGATGATGATAATGCAGACGAGACAGATGATGACGAAAACGATGCTAATTGCAGTGCTGGTGAGTAGGATTTGGAGAAAAGGAGTTTAGACAGGGGCGAGCAGGGTAATGGTGAAGACGAGGGTGGAAAAGGCGACTGATGATACAGTGATGAGTATGGGACTTGGGTCGTTGGTGGCGGTGATGACGAGTGAGTAGATGATGTTGATGAAGGTGAATACGGAGAAAACGGATGAAAATGAAATTTTGTTTTCATTGACGATGGCGCTATATACGATTTGGGATAACGTGCGAGAGAAGAGGCAGACAACGCACTGGAACTGCCAGCAGCATTACCACAAGTCGTATCAGAAGTCGTGGTGGTAGCGTTAGAGTCTGTCACGGTAATTAATGAACTGCAGGGCGTTTTAGCCCTATTCCTTTCTGACGATGATAAAAACGATGATGATGACGATGAGGATGATAAAGCTGGTGATAATGCGGGGGAGGGGGCTGACCAAGACGACAAAGTACCGTAGCGTTTCATAAGAGGGTTTGATAGGTCTAGAACTCTAGCACTATCGTCATCTGCGGTGTCATCGTCAGTTGCATCCATTGCTTCATCTTTGTCGTTTAAACTTTTTGAGTCCGTTTTGGAGTTCTGCGTGGGGTCGTTCTTTGAGTCTTTTGAAGGTCGGCCCATCTGAATGGCTGGGGGAGTGGTTGAGATTTAAAATTAGGGATTAGTGAAGATGGCGGATTTTTGTGTTGAGTTGTTTGTAATTAGGTGGTGGTCAACCAATCAAACAACCAACCAACCAGCCAACCAACCAACCAACCAACCAACCAACCAACCAACCAACCAACCAACCAACTAACCAGCCAACCAACCAACCAATCAATCAACCAGCAGACCGACTCACCTGCGCGGGACATTCCCAGCAACTTGCACTTCTCATAGCGGCAGTACCTACATGAATTCCTCGTCTGTGGGTTTATGATGCACTTCCCTTCCAGCTTGCACACGTATGTCCTGTGCTCGTGCAACGCCCTCCGATAAAACTTCTAAAATGATAAAAAATATCATCAGCAATTAGTAGTAGTGGTAGCAGCTTCAGCAGCACCAGTGATAATAGTAGTAGTAGTGGTGGTAGAGGTGGTGGTGGTCGTTGTAGTATTAGTAGCACCAGCAGCAGTAGCAAGAGTAGTAGTAGCAGCAGCAGTAGTAGTAGTAGTAATAGTAGTAGTAGTAGTAGTAGTAGTAGTAGTAGTAGTAGTAGTAGTAGTAGTAGTAGTAGTAGTAGTGGTGGTGGTAATAGTAGTAGCATCAGAAGTTGCATCACCATCAGTGATAGTAGTTAACAGTAGTAGCAGTAGTAGTAGTAGCAGTACTAGTAGTAGTAGTAGCAGCACCCAAATGAATTATAAAAATATCATAATGTCAACAACAACAACAACTACCACTGCAATAACAGCGAAAGCTAATAATAACAATAACAATAATAATAATAATAATAATAACCACAACAACAATAATAAGAAATGTGATTTTTTTTAATTTTTTTAGCGCATAATTAGCTGATGCATTGTCTTTATTTTGCGGACGGGTTGACGCGCCGAATAGATAGTGATGAGTCCTTGAGGGGTTTTTTAGAATTAATGGTGACGTCATTTAGCCGCCTTCGTCATCATCGTCATCATCATCGCCTACATCATCCTCTTCCTTGCCATAATAATAACATTAATAATAATAATAACAATAACAACAACAACAATAATAATAATAAATAATGATAATTTTAACAATAACAATGATAAAAAAAAATAATAACAACAATAATAGCAATAACAATAATAATATTAATAATAATAACAATAATAAAAATAATAATAATAATAATAATAATATGTTATAACTTCAAAGATCCATATATTTCCAACAGTAATAATAATAATAAGAGCAACATTAATTATAAAATTACGACAACAACAACACCAATAATAATATTAATAGGAAGATTAAATAAAAATAATGACAACAACGACAACATCAATTATAATAACAACAACAACAAAATCAGCAACAACAACAACAACAACAGCAGCAGCAGCAACAACAACAACAACAACAATAACAACAACAACAACAAACCGACCTTGCAACCCTCGCATGTGACGACACCAAAATGGACGCCGTTACCCAGGTCCGAACAGATCTTGCAGATTCTCAAGCCCGCCGTCTGCTCGATATGTGTTGGTCGACCTGGTTGGAGGTGAAAGGTCAGGTTAAAAGGTCAAGGTTTATTTTTAGGATCAGGCGGTTTTAGCTAGTGCGCGAGCGAATGAATTATAGATGAATGAAGGCATGCGTGTGTGTGTGTGTGTGTGGAATGAAGACATTGGAGTGTGTATGTGTGTGTTAAATGAATGGCAAACGCTATGTAGGTCACGCCACAGACAGCACACACGCCGCACACACAATCACAGATGAGAATTTATGCGATATGTATTAAAAAAGAAATCAATGTAAAATGATATAAAGAGGATGTTTAAAATATAAAGAACGGTCATATATCTCTCAGGTCATATTGCAGTCTATTCTAAAAGCTAATTATTATTGAAATGAATACACACACCTACACGCACAAACACACGCATACAGACAAACAAACACACACACACAGACATTAAACATATAAACGCATCTATATAAGTCTTTCAAGACAATCACTTAACCACACACTATTCACATTCGCAAACAAGCGAATACACTCAACCGTACGTACACACATACAACCGCATGCACGCACGTAAAAAATATGCGATAGCACGTACACAAACACGCAAACAAACACTTGCACACATACACCACACATACATACACACACGCGCGCGCGCGCACGCACGCAGACGCAGTATTGCTTGCTCACTCGCGCTTAGACAAACAAGAAAGAGAGGGAAAAAAATAGAAGGCGCACGCACACGAATAGGCGCGCACATTAAAAAAAATCAGGTCACGAGAATTCGGTCAATCCTAAATCTATGAATAGCCTGGATGAAGTGCCGATGATATAATGATGGTACACATACACACACACACACACATACACGCACACGTACACACACCAAACTACACAGACACACGCACAGACATACACACATACTTATAAATACATACATACATATATGTATTTTGATATATATAGCAATAAATAACAGACAAGCTTGTATGTAATTGATAAAATGATATAGATTGAATGTTTCAAGTTACTCTTTGTATACATTTATAGCTCGTAATATTGTATTGTTTTGAGTGTCTGTGTATATTTTACCGTGTTGTATCGGATGACATTGCATTCGACGAGTTGCTATGATTTGTATTGTAATAATTTGGACTTACATCGATACAGTTTTATTTATTAACTCATTTGTTATTTATTATTTTTCGTTAATAGCGAGATAATACATATAAATAAATAAATATACACACAAATGAAGCGAATCGAAACGTAATTTATTTAGCAGCCAACTTGGCTACACAAAATTCAAAAATATGAATTATAGTCTATAAAACATACACATACAACATGCACATATGATTCGTTTGAATGTATTCAAGATGAATGATCTGCAATGTTTTAGAAGAAAAATATCAAAAATAAAATTAATTATATAAATAAATTAACTGTATAACATACACAAATATAAGTGTAATACGCATTTATAACTGGAATACCTATAGATGATACAATCACATCTTAAATATACATATTTTATACCCTAAGGTACCATAATACAACGAAAAAATACCAGCATAAACTTCAAATAAACTTGCCAAACAACCTGAAATAGGCTGATTTTAACCAGAAAAATGAGAAACTCACACACGCACGCACGCACAAACACACACATACACACACACAAACATAGCAGATAAATCTGAGAAAAAAACTATGACACCCTACGTACAAAAAATATGAAACAGCCACATAAATCTCACAATTAAAGGCTTACAACCTCAGGGTTGAGCTTTCTTCGCGGGCAAACACACGTTTTTATTTTTATTAGTTCCCGCGCTGTTAAGAATAAAAATAACAATGAGAAAATAAATAAACAACAATAATAATAAAATAAATAAATAATAATAATAATGATAGTAATTTGGCAAGAAGAAAGCAGGATGAAAAGATTTAAGAGAGAACAACAACGAAAAAACAACAAAAGATCAGATGAAACGTGAACGATGTAGAAAAAAATGGTAGGCAGAGCACAGGCATCTTGAAGATCAGAATGAACATAAATGAAAGCATTTCAAGAGGTTATCAACCAGCATGTACAATTTACAACAACAACACAACAAGCGAATTTTAAAGAAAGAACGAAGGATACAACGGCTTTCATATTGTTACATTACTCTACATACATACAAACAGACAGACAGACAGACGCAGACTAAGAGAGAGAGAGAGAGAGAGAGAGAGAGAGAGAGAGAGAGAGAGAGAGAGAGAGAGAGAGAGAGAGAGATAAAGAGAAAGAGACATACACACACACACACAAACGCAAGTTGTTATACAACATAAATCCACGCAACAACATGCAACAAAAAGTACATGCACCCAGTAGTTCTACTAAGACTAAAACCGCCGACCGTTGATAAAGTTCAATGCTATAAAATTCAATGCTCTTTAATGCGTTTATATATACTTTAATATTTGTATATCTTTGTGTGTATATGTGTGTATGTATGTATGTGTGTGTATGTATGTGTATGTGTGTGAGTGTGTGTGCGTTAGTGCGTGTGATTGTATATTTATTACCAATAATTCCATGTTTTTTTTTAAAAAAAAGGGTTATTAATGTTAAACCACCGTCGGACTGATTAAAAAATGAAAATTTTATGAAGAGCGATTGTTGATCGTTCACCCGAATTCTTTTTCTCTTAAATTTGTCACAAAAAAACTTCTGTTAACAATGAATTAGATGCTACTTGTAGGACCTACCAGCAACTTAGCAAATTTGCTTATAAGATTAAAAAATTTGTTTTTCTGATTATATTACTTAACCTTTGAAAAAAATCAGTCAAGTAATAAATGGTAATTTTTCAGAAAAAGTTGCACCAAAACTTTATTTTATTCTCTCTGATACATTTAATCTGCGACAGATGTGAATATTTGATGACATGATCTTCCAATCACAGAATGAGCAATCGTTCGATGGCTTTTTTTACCAACATAATCCCAACAATAACGAGATTACATCTCATTATTATCTAATGAAACATTACAAAACAAACACACTCACACATCCACACACACACACTCACACAAACACACGCACGCACGCACGTACACACACACACACACACACACAGAAACTCGTACACACATACACGAGCGCACAAACAATTACATAGAGTCAATATGATGTCGTGTTTATTGTTGATAAAAAAAAAACTTATATATTGTATATTGTATAAAAAACTTCTATATTTCAAACCTTAACAAAATAATTTATTACATGGCCACTCTTGTTAAATAAAGTTACTTTAAAACTGTGAAAACCCGTACGCCATTTCAAACAATTCATAAATTTTTATTCATTCATTCAAACACAATTCATAAATTTTTATTCATTCATTCATTCATTTGAATGAATGAATGAATGAAATAGTAACTGTTCGGCTAGAGATGTTGGTTGGTTTGTAGTAGTAAAGTACCAGTATATATCAAACGGTTTTTACGTGTGTTTGTCTGGGCGAACTTGTCAATCAAGTTGGAGCGCTTGACAAAAATTTTAAAAATGATCTATATAGTCGCACATAATAATATTAATATTATATGAAAAGAGAGAGAGGGAGAGAGAGAGAAAAAAAAAGAAGAGAAAAATGAAGGAAGAGGGAGTGCGAGAGAAAGAGAGAGAGAGAAATAAAGAGAGAGAAAGAGAAAGAAAGAGAGAGATGTGCAAATAAAAATATATTTAATATGTACAGAGTTGGGGTAAGTTTCTAACAAATGGATTATACACACATACATACATACACACATACACACACACATACATACACACATACACACATACACACATACATACATACATACCTTACATACCTACAAGTTGAACTGTATAATGTTAAGTTTTTTTTTCCTTACTCATGTAATTCATCACGCTTTGTTTACCTTACTAACTTTATTTAATTTAACTTTAATGTTAACGTTTAGTTTTTTTTTCACTTTTCAGTGACAATAAATCTCATTGTTACTCGAAATTTTTAATCTATTCAAACAACTCATGCATTATTATTATTATTCTTCTTCTTATTATTATTCTTCTTCTTATTATTATTTTTTATTATTATTATTCATCTCATAACTGTTTTCATTATTATTATTTTTTTCCCTTCACTCATTTATTTATTCATTCATTCATTCGTTCGATCATTCGTTCGTTCATTCATTCATTCGTCCAAGACTAAGAGGGGGGGAGGTATTTAAAAGTTATTTCGTCTACAAATAATAAATGAAACAATAATAATAATAATAATAAATAATAATAATAATAATAATAACAAAAAACAATAACACGATGTGAAAATAATGGAGTGAATTCATCAGTCGAGACGAAATGAAATTTTTTGTTATTAACTTTTTATTATTAACATTATTATTTATTTGTCATATTATTATTATTTATTATTATTATTGTTGTTGTTATTGTTGTTATTGTTGTTGACGGGTTATTAGAAAATTCCAAAGGCATAGAGCGGTGAATGAAAAAGCAATTGATCAAATATTAATGGTCCCCATCTAGCATAATGACGTTACGTGAATATTTTTTTACTATTCTTATTTTTATTTTTAATAACAATAAAAATAATATTATTATTAATAATATAATTATTATTATGGCTATATTTTTATTTATATTTTTGGCAGCCATTAATTTTCTGCGGCGTATTTATTTCTGATCTCAATCATTTCATCATTTCCGTTCTACTCTTTTTTTGGACAAACGAGTCGTTATGTTTTGTGTGCGTGTGTGTATTTGTCTGTCTGTGTGTGTAAGTATGTCTTTGTGTGTGTGTGTGTGTGTGTGTATGTTTGTGTGCGTATGTCTTTGTGTGTGTGTGTCCATACGGGTTTGTGTGCGTATGTCTTTGTGTGTGTGTGTCCATACGGTGAGTATGATGATTATGAATATGATGTTAGCATTATCGTTGTGTTAG